CTGTCCTGGCCAGGGGAGCAGTCCTGCGGTCGGCTGGCTGTCCTTGTGAGGGGAGCAGTCCTGCGGTCGGCTCACTGTCCTGGCCAGGGGAGCAGTCCTGCGGTCGGCTCGCTGTCCTGGTCAGGGGAGCAGTCCTGCGGTCGGCTCGCTGTCCTGGCCAGGGGAGCAGTCCTGCGGTCGGCTCGCTGTCCTGGTCAGGGGAGCAGTCCTGCGGTCGGCTCGCTGTCCTGGTCAGGGGAGCAGTCCTGCGGTCGGCTGGCTCTCCTGGCCAGGGACTCTACAAACAATAGCACGGCATCTACTCTGCTGAGGACTGAGGGCTGCTAGTCTGGCATGATGCCAGGCAGCCACAGGCAGCTGCAAAGTGGCATCCTACACTTGGGCTCCTGGTTCGCAAAGCTTTGGGGACCCAGGACTACCTGTCCTGTGGCTGCTCTGTCACATCTGCTACAGTTCTGTCTCTCAGCAGCTGTGATCCCACCTGGGCCTCTCTTGTCTGACAGAAGAGGTGGCTGGGGCAGGGAAGGGGAGGCATCATGACCTTGGCAGAGGGGAGCCAGCTGTCACTGGCACCAAAGCAGAAAGCCTCTGAGACCTGAGCCTGGGGCAGAACCTAGGGAGCTATTAAAACGAGCAGGAAATAAAAGCAAAACGGACAGAATAACTTCCCAGGATCCTAAACCTCAGCAAAAGCTGTCTGGAACAGTGGCAGACCAGACACAGCGAGGGAACCCTCAGACAATAAACAATAGTTTATTTGTTTGATTTTTAAAGGTATAAATCCTAAAATAGGGAGAAAGCAGAAGAAATTATATTTAAGAAGTTGAATGCCAGGAAGCGGACAGGCAGAAGATCAAGAACTGGAGAGGCTGGCAGGAGCTCCACGTGGCAAATAAAGAACAGAAGTGTGTCCTTGTCATTGGCCTCTGGATGCCCTGGGCAAAAGAGCAGGGCCTCAAGAAGAAACTGTAGGTACCTGAGCCCTACGGATCCTGACCTTTTCCAGCACAATCAGGCAGCATCCACCAGCCTGAGCTCACCAGGGCCAAGACTGCCTGTGGACTAAACAGGCTGTGGGCACCATCTTTGGGAGCAGGGTCCAGAAGGGGATAGCAGAGTATGAGTTACCAAGTGGCAATACCAGTTCATCTTCTGGAAATGAGTCAACATCTCAGAATCCACCAGCAAGGCTTGGGAGGAGGGACGGGAAGGTTTCCACACTAACACTGTCCTGGAGTCTGAGTCTCTGGGGCTGTGGTTGGGCTGCCCAGGTGGGGACAGTCTCAGCCACGGATAGGCACATAACTCAGATTTTTAAAAGCTTGCAAACTCCTGCCTAGATTCACAGCTCATAAAGTAGGAACAAACCAGGGACAGATTTCGTCAGTACTCATACCATTCTGGGACCAGGTTGATGAGGCCACCTTCGTGTGGCCCCTGGCCTGTTTGGTGCATACGCAGCACCTGAAGCCAGGGACTTGCCATTGGGAGCAAAGCACCCAGTGCCAGGTGACCTCCTTTCTCTTGTTTCCTCCAGTCAGGGACTACTGGTGTTTTCTAATCCTTCCAGGTGACAGTCACACGGTGAGACAAGAGCAGGAAGCTCAACAGTCAGAAATGAAGCCCCGCATGCTCCATTGATTGCAATGGCTGAGCAGTTTCAGAGTCTATGGGAAGACTACTAGGGCTTGTTCAATCAACAATTGATCTAAAAACTTGAAGCTCTCCAATACATCGATAGGAGCCACGCAGCAGAGCTAAGGAAACTTCACAGCAGCACTTGGTACTAACCTTAACCAAACAAACAGAGAACTTCACAGAGAACTGGACACACGCTGTGAGCAGAGGAGGAACTGGGGCCTTCTGCCCAGACAGCAGTGCAGATGGGGGTGGTCACTTTCTTGCCTGGCTATCCTGGCCAACATCGGGTATGTGGCAGGTAATGGACAGTGTCATCCTCAGGGGGTGGCCTCTTCCAGGCTAAACTCTGGCTTCTGCATGTCCCAAGTCCCCATGGAAACCCATGTTGGGGCAACACAGCCTGTCTGGTTAGCTCACGCCTTCCCTGATGCTCTCCCGATGGGCACACCATGGACAGTTACTATGGTGCATGAAGGCAAGGTTGGCTCCGAGCCCAGGTCTCAACTGATTCCATTCCTGCAGATAAATAGCCAGCCCCTGCCCACCACGCAGGGGACTCACAGACCCTGGCTCACAGCACCACCACTCCTGTGGCGGCCCAGGTAAAGGTCAACAGGTCACAACTGAAGAGGAAACCATCTAAAGACATGCGTTTGAGACACTCTGCAGCCCGGGGCTCCAAAAGCACATGATGGTCTGGTGTAGATCAACATGGAAGGGCAAGAGCCCCAAGGCCAGCCACACACAACAGACACAGCAGGGCCCCGACATCTGTACACGGAAGGCCCTTTTGGAAGAGCAAATGTATTTATCTCTCTTTCTCCCCATGGCCTAGAAGTTCTGGGTGACTTTTCTCAGACCAGGGGCTGTTCTCTAAGGCCCTCCACAGCTGGGGCCCTCCTTTGTTGGTTAGCTAGTAACCATACATGTTATCTGTGCATACTAATGACATTGATTCATAGCCCATAAGATTCTAACCACTCTGATGTAGGAATCTGACCTTGCTCTTTAGCCTCGGTGGCCCTCAACCAACCCCAGAAGAGCAGCTGTTTCCTCCTATCCCCACCACAAACAGTGTAACTCCAGACTCCAGACTCCCTGTTACTGCCTCCCTGAACCCCCAGCTCCAGAATCACAGGGCAGTAGGTAGGCCATGCATTCCAAAGAATTTTGTTGGAAGTCACAGAGTTAGGAGGACTAATTTTGGCAGTGAGGGAGGTCTCTGTCCTTCCTGAACAGCCACCAACCTTGTGAGTTCCTCTGTGCATTCTCTGGGGGAGAGAGCAACTGCAGAAAGTAGGGTGGGAAAGGCAGGAGCATTAGGGATCAGGTGTGTGACCCCTCCTCTCATCTGGACCCAGAGGATGACCTGGGAGAGGCTGTGGATGAGGCCCTTCCCAAGAGCCCAGGATGGTTTTCTGCAGCTTATGCCACAATCCGAGTGGCAGGAGGGACAGCTAGGGAAAGGGTTAAGTTTAATTTATCCTGATTTCTACTTAATATCATGCTCTCCCCGTAGGAGCGGCAGCTGCGAGCTGATTGCGCGCTCTCATTATGCAGTCTGTATCGCTAATGGCCTGTGACAAAGGCTTGCCAGCTCCCGGCCTTACCCCCGAGAGCCAATTAAACACACACACTCCCTTCCTGTTTGCAGCACGTTACAATGAAATTAAACTGAATTTCAAAATCGTTTTCTCCTGAAGACATCTCTTTACAATAATTAATGCATGCTATTCCTTTTCAGCAGAAAGGCCCACCCGGAGTGCGCACTGCCCACGTGGCTCCTGCCGCACCCCAGGGCTCCACGAGTCCCGACATCAGGAAAACCTATAGGGCTTGCACCCCGAGTCTTTAAAGGGAAGAACACAGCTTTTTATCCAAACCTAAACATAGCAAGGTGATCACAAAGGAAGTCGGGATTCCCGCAGGGACTGTTCAGAAGGCTGCTGGAGGGGCCTGTAAAAGCAGGGTTCACTCAAAGGCAGGGTTTCCTAGGCACGGCAGTGGAGGGATAATCGCGGGAGGTTTGTTTCCTCCAGATAGCTGGCATTAACCAGGATGTTTACAGAGGGAACACCGGGGAGCTGTGTATTATATGCGTCCCACTGTCCATCACTGCTCCACTGATATAATCATGCCAGTACCCAAACCCTGAGCTGCTGACACCCTGGAATAGTGGTGGGCGGCTTGTGGGTCTCACGCGTAGACCTTGGGTCCTCCCTGAAGGTTCTGGATTGACGACACCCCCTACCTAGGGTATACTGGCCCAAGGTAGCTGGGATAACACATGCTTCCAGGGTCACTAGACTGAGGGTCACAGACTTCCCTCTCAGATAAGCCAGTACCCATTTAGGGCACAAGGCCCCCACAAGGTTTTGCTTCCCAAAAGAGCATCTCTGTCACAAAGGCCAGGATGTCACATGGGAACCAGGCCTTTCCTTCTGGAAGTATTACCTTGAGAGCTAGAGAAGTTAGCACGTGCACAAACATGTTAGAAATACAGAAGGGCAAAAAAGAAAACCTGGCTGGGCAGTGGTGGCGCACGCCTTTAATCCCAGCACTCGGGAGGCAGATCTCTGTAAGTTTGAGGCCAGCCTGGTTTACAGAGCAAGTTCCAGGGTAGCCAAGGCTACACAGAGAAACGCTGTCTCAAACGAAAAAAAAAAAAAAGAAAAAAAGAAAAACTACCAGAACCCTGATATTCTGAGATCAGTAACCCATGTGACGTTGATGAACTTCCAGGTAAAAAGCATGATGTCAGCAGACAGACACAGCTGTACAGCCGCCATCTCCAGCACAGGCATACTGCCTTCAGGACATGGGATTCTCACAAGATGAACTGACGCACAGGTGGGGACGTGTGTCTCCCAGGCTGCTGGGGTCCACTGTACCACGAGCCCCACAGGCCATACAGAACAGACCAAACTGGAATATGCAAATTAATAATCAAACCAAACCAAATTGAGGTAAGTGAAACTGCTTCTGACCTCAAGGTTGGGAGGGGAGATTTTCAGCGCAAGACTGTGGCTGTGTGGACGCACAGGACTGGTGGTGTCCCCAAGACTGGGCGGAGGTCCTGACCTTAGGGGCAATAGGACCAGAGTCATGCAGCATCAACAGGGCTGTAGCAATGGGGCCAGCTGGCAGAGGGACAGTGTAGGAGCTATGTTTTGGGGACAGGGGCTCCAGACTCTTTATAAGGGCAGTGGGCCCTCAGACCCTCTTTCTAGTAGCCAGTGGGAGGCTGAAGCATCCTAAAGGGTATCAAAACAGCCTTCAGCGGAGGACCTAGAACACACAGGCTAAGAGACACCGGCATGGGCCAGACCTTCCTCAAGCATTTCAGAGCTCGGTCCTACCTGTTCTGAACCAGCCATCCAGAGTGAAAGCCTTTTCCGTTTCATCCGGCTTATCCCAGTATTCTCGGAACACAGAGGGTCCCCTAACTAGCAGCTCTCCTTCCTTTTCCTCGAACCCTGGGGTCACCTGCAGAAGGTAGGAGAGACGAGCAGGTCAGAGCAGGACAGCCTGGGGACTCCGCTGCTCCTCCACCCCAATACTGATCCAGGCAAGTGGCTTCCACTCACACCACAGACCAAATGTGTTTTGAAATTAGACAGTTGGAAATCTTTGAAAACCACAGCCGTCAGAGGGTGGACCTCAATCACGCCCAAGCCTAGGGCTCCTCCTCTGTCCTTGGCCTGAGGTGGAGGTGTTTGCCCACTCTTAAAAACTGTTCCTGAACCCCATTTCTGTGCGCTTCTCAGAAGCTGTGAAATGTCTGCCAGCTCCACCCAAACAGCACCCCGGCACAGCCCGTGGGCAGCAACAGCTTCTGTCCAGAGTAACCAACCAAGGGATTCCTAGATGGCAAGCAGAACATGTGGCCACTCTGGTACTGTCACAGAGCCTGTTGTGGTTGTGCTGTGTAAACTGGCCAGGTGAGATCAGCACATACAGCCACACCTGTATGTAACACGCCAGGTGAGATCAGCACATACAGCCACACCTGTATGTAACACGCCAGCTGAGATCAGCACATACAGTCACACCTGTAGTAATGCGCCAGGTGAGATCAGCACATACAGCCACACCTGTATGTAACACGCCAGGTGAGATCAGCACATACAGCCACACCTGTAGTAATGCGCCAGCTGAGATCAGCACATACAGCCACACCTGTATGTAATGCGCCAGCTGAGATCAGCACATACAGTCACACCTGTAGTAATGCGCCAGGTGAGATCAGCACATACAGCCACACCTGTATGTAATGCGCCAGCTGAGATCAGCACAGTCACACCTGTAGTAATGCGCCAGGTGAGATCAGCACATACAGCCACACCTGTATGTAACACGCCAGGTGAGATCAGCACATACAGCCACACCTGTATGTAATGCGCCAGGTGAAATCAGCACATACAGTCACACCTGTATGTAACACGCCAGGTGAGATCAGCACATACAGCCACACCTGTATGTAATGCGCCAGGTGAAATCAGCACATACAGTCACACCTGTATGTAACACGCCAGGTGAGATCAGCACATACAGCCACACCTATATGTAATGCGCCAGGTGAAATCAGCACATACAGTCACACCTGTATGTAATGCGCCAGCTGAGATCAGCACATACAGTCACACCTGTATGTAATGAGCCAGCTGAGATCAATCAGCACAGTCACACCTGTAGTAATGCGCCAGGTGAGATCAGCACATACAGTCACACCTGTAGTAACGTGCCCGCTGAGATCAGCACATACAGTCACACCTGTAGTAACATGCCAGCTGAGATCAGCACATACAGTCACACCTGTATGTAACGCGCCAGGTGAGATCAGCACATACAGTCATACCTGTATGTAACGCGCCAGGTGAGATCAGCACATACAGTCATACCTGTATGTAATGCGCCAGGTGAGATCAGCACATACAGTCACACCTGTATGTAATGTGCCAGGTGAGATCAGCACATACAGTCACACCTGTATGTAATGTGCCAGGTGAGATCAGCACATACAGTCACACCTGTAGTAATGCTTGAAGCCGGGGGTAAACGATGCTACTGCCTAGTATGTCCAGTAATCTATACTTCTCATTGGTATCAGAGGACGATCCTTCCACTCTTCTATTTCTTGAGACAGGTCTTGTTCTGTAGCACAGGCTGGCCTACAACTCATGACGTGTTCAGACTGGCTGCAAACTGGTGGGTGAAAGAGCTTGCTGCCTAACCTGACGGCTTGAGGTTGATCCCTGGAACCATGTTATTAGAGAGAACCAACTCTCACAAGCCGTCCTATGACCTCTACATGTGTGCTGTATTACATACGTGTGCACTTGGACACACACACATACAAACACACACACACACGGATGCCTACTTTTCTCGTTTCTATGAGACACAATAATGGAAATCCTAATTAGAGAAGAAGGCCAAGAAAAATAAATGAAAAAAATTTGAAAAGAAGAAATAAAAGGGTTATTTGCAAAAGACACGTTTGTATACGAAAATCCCAACATGCTACAAAATCAAATCAAACAATCTCCTTGAACTAGTGGGTGGATTCAGCCAGATTATTAAAGGGTGTGAGCATGTCCATCTACACTAGCTCTGTCTCTACAGACTCATGATGAACAACCAGAGACTGGCATTTGCAGCCCTGTGTTATTTGAAACGGAAGATAAAGAAAAGGAAGGGAAAAGCTAAGAACCATTTGACTATGTCTAACAGATCATGTATAGCATCTGCCTGCTGAACACAGCACACACAGAGGTAGGTCAGCTCTATGGAAGTGGAAAGACATGCCATGTTCAAGGACTGGGACTTAGTAGTTGCTAATGCTCACCGCATTCAGTCACAGGTGTAATATGATTCCAATTAAGAACCCAAAATGACTTTCTGTAGACATAGACAAGCTAGTTCAAAGACCGAGGGGCTGGGAAGATGGCTCAGTGGAGAAGCCCTTGCCATGGGAATGTGAGAATTGGAGTCTGGATCTCCAGAACCTATGCAAAAGTCACATGTGGTCAATTGTGTCTGTAATCCAAACACGCAGCAAGATAAGAGGTGCAGACAGGAAGATCCCTGCAGGCTCCAGGGCCAGCTGTTTTGGTGCAAACAGTAGAGAACAAGACAGAAGATGAGGACCAACACCTGGAGTTTTCTTCTGAGCTACATATGCATGCCGTGGCATGTGTGCACCCCCTACACACAAATAAAACATTGCTATGTGCAGGATTGTGGGAGGTAGCTCAGTGGTGGAGCTCTCACCGTGTAGGCACAGGCTGGCCTCAAACTCACAAGCCTCTGGCTTCAGCCTCACGAGTGCTGTGACGACAGGCGTGTAGTCCCACTGAGCGCTGTGACGACAGGCGTGTAGTCCCACTGAGCGCTGTGACGACAGGCGTGTCCTACCTCAGATCTGATTTTGTTTTTTTACATGTAGGCACCTGGTTTTCCCAACATTTATTGATGACACAGTCTTCGTCCTAAAATGTCTTCTTGGAACTTTTAAAAAATGAGGAACAGACAGCTACAAATTGGTTCCTATCTCTGTTGTGTTGTCCTGGCCTACGAACGTCTCTTCCTCTTGTGGCAGTACCATGTTCCTGTGGCTAGAGGAGTCCTGGGGCACATTTTGAAGGCAGGTAGTTAAAGACCCACAGCTTTGTTTATGCTAAAGATTGCTTTGGCTATTTGGGCTCATTTGTAGTTCTATGCAAATATTAGAATAATTTCTATTTCTGTGACGTCATTGGTCTCTGGACAAGAGCTGCATTATTTTGTGCCTGATGCTTGAGTCAAGTCTTGTAGGACTGTGCTCAACAGTAACAAGAAATACTTAGCCTTGCCTTGCTGTAAGGAGAGCTTTTAAAAACTCTGCCTACTCAAGGGATGCCAGCTACATGTGGAATTTATGTTGGCATGTTCTTTTACCATCTACTTTGTTCAGAATTTGTTATCAAAGGATGTTGAATGTCATCAAATGTTCTTTCTATATCCACTGAAATATTTAAACACAGGAAATGTATAGAGAAAAGAGAAGCTAAACGTTGCTTGGGGACCAGGTGAGAGGACAGTGGTGTAGAAGCAGGGTGGAGAGTGACTGCCAACCATGGTTAGGGAAAGGTACACAACTCCGTGAGAACACCGAGAACCGCTGGGCGGAACAGTCACGGGTGAACTGTACATAAATCACATCTCAGCAAATCACCTTAAAGCCGAGGCCCGGGCAGTAAGAAACTACACAATTTGTTTTTCTGGGGGTGATGGTTGGGAGACCCTGAGATCCTGGGAGAAGAATCGGTTCCCAGCAATGAGCAGGGCTGGGGGCTGATCAGGAATGTGGCAATAAAGGAGAAGGCTGAGGTACAGGAGAAAAGCTGGGGTGGGGTGCTCCCTCAGCGCCTTACATTCCCAAGCACTCCTTCTAAGGGCATGTGGGGAGGCAGGCCCCACATGCAGGAAAAAGGTACTGACTGGGTCTGGAGAGATGGCTCGACAGTTACGAACACTGGCTACTTCCAGAGGGCCTGGGCTGGATTCTCAGCAAACACGTGAGCCCCCAGTTGTCTGTAACTCCAGTTTCAAGGGATCCAAAGTCCTCTTCTGGCATCCACAGGTACCAGGCAGGCTTGCAATTGGTGCAGACAGATGTGCAGGCAAAACATCAGAAACATGGTGGGGGGGCTGTGCTGAGAAGCTAAGCTGCCTGCAAGACAGGCCGGTTGCCAGTGATCTGGTTTTTGGTTTGAAGATTCCTCACTTGGGACCAGCTGTCTCCTAAGGAGCCCTGGACAGAGAGGGTAAGCACACACATCTCACAGGATACATGGCTTCACAATGGCCATCTGCATCTGAAGTAAAGGATCACTGTCCAACCCCTCCACGTGGGGCAGGTACAGCAGCTGACACATAGGGACAGATGGTCGAGATAAGGGAGCGGGGAAAGGAGGTGGAGAGGACCACAGGGAGAGAAGGCAACGACAGAGCAGTCTGCTGACCAGAGTGACAGCTTGTATGTGGAGAACTGATGAGGCAATTAATTTTTTTTAGAGAAGCAAGTTTGCTTCAGCGTAGCTGCCCCAGCCCACCCTTAACCGCTGTTGCACCCTTAGCAAGAAAAGTGGTTCTGTGTAAAGGCCCTGCTTATAGGGTGGCATTATCCACAGCTGTGCAGCCATTTATCTGTTGATAGACCCCTATTGTCGCTGGTTGGTGTTTGGCTCTCATGTAAGCGAGCAATCTGAGAAAATAAAAAATAAATAACTAAAGAAACAATGCCTGATGCACTCGCAGGGCTTGCAGCCGAGCCAGCTGGAGCGCCGAAGCACATGAAATATGCATCACGACCAACAAAGCAGGCGGGGTGCATGGATGAGCGTTCACCTCTTCAAGGGTGAGGGGTCAGGCTGGGGGAGCGCTGGGAGCCTCCACTTGGAGGGACCCATGAAGGTGAGGTGACTTTAGAGAGAGCCCTGTCTGCAGGAGGGAAGGGACAGGCAGTGTTCCTCCAGAGCCTCATTGCCTGCCCAGTCTGCAAGACTCGGAAGTCGGCCTACAGGGAGGCCGACACACAGGACACTGGCTGAGATGTGTGGTGCTGAGGGCTGTGGGCTATGGAGTTAACTAGGCTCCATGAGAAGAGAGGAGCAGAGGGTCTCACACACAAGAACCAGGCGTGGGAGCCCTTGCCATGAGTGAGTGTTCTTCCTCCTATACTAGTTTCCTTTTGAAGGACCCAGAAGCATGTTCCTCTCACTTCAGATGGGATTCTGCACATGGCCACTATCTACAGAAGCAAGCCTCAACTCACAGTCCTGAGCTGTTAGGTTCTGACACCACCGCCAAGATCCGGGAACACCCTCCCTCCCCACAGAGTCCTTCAGAGATTCTAACTGTTGCCAGGGTCCTAAGACTCTGAGAACATAAGGCAGCGGCTGTTCTAGGGGCCTGTCTCCCCAAGGATCCTTGAGTGTAAAAGGCCAGGACACGGACAGTAAGGAGGCATGAGTGACCATCCTGGGGTCCCTGTCAGGCTCCAATCCCACAGAGGATGGGAGTTGATGCGGCTCTCAGGGGCTTCAGCAGGCCGACAGGGATAACTTCTTCAAAGCAACATGTCATCACCGACTACAGAAAACATGTCTGTCCTCTGTCTCTGAGACAGACTAGGCCAAGATGAGGGGTTTCATTCATTCATTCTTTACCCTCCCCATATAACCAAGGCAGGGGTAGGAAGAGATTTTGAGGTGATCACATAGTAAGCCCCAGGCTTTAGTTGTTTGTGTGACTACACACGGAACTGAGGGCCTATGTATATCGGGCAAGCCCTCTACCACTGAGCTCCACCCAGACCCAAAGTCGTAAACTTGTAAGTCAGAGACTCTGACTTTGTCAAAATGCCATATGTTGGCACACACTTAATGGAACAGCACCCCAGCTTTAGACTGCTCAGGGTGCGGCACAGAGTAGCATGCTCATGAGCGGTCATGCCAACAGGGGTCATCTGTTGTCACAGCAGCCACAGCTGGCTCAGCGAGATGGAACACTGGGACGGGGCAGAAGCCACCCGGGGCCAGAGGGGCCAGGGCATCAGGACTCTGTGAAGGCAGCACCTGGCGAGGCTGTGCATCCCAGAGGGTGAGTACAGATGTCCACACGGACAGACGCTTGCTGCAGCCCTTATAAAGGTACCACCTGCTACCAGCAGCAGCCCCAAATGCATGTCCTCCCTGCCCCACACATATGGACAGTGGGTACAGCAGGCATAGTGGGCACTACCAGCCACATGTGGGGCTTTTATTAGGAGCGAGAAACCCCAATATTTAAAGTCATATTCTGGAAACCTCACAGATAAATGTTTTAGGACTAACAGGTATGAGAAAACAAATGTCTATGAACTCAGCTCAAAATGCTGAGAGTATCTGTGTACTGTACATACACACGCACACAGCTGTGCATGGACAGAGACTGTCTGTCTGTCTGTCTGTCTCTCTCTCTCTTTCTCTCTCTCTCTGCTGGGAAACCAGTTTCCCTGATGATGGATTAGGATGTCAAAGGCAGGTAGCCATCAGCAAGGTGATAACAGCCTCAGAACTGACAACACTGGCACCAAGCAGGACACCTCCATGAGAGGTGGGTGTGGCCCTGGAAGAACCCATACTATCTAGGCCTAGGTGTGGAGGTGAGATCCTAACACAGGCATCCTCCTGTCTCCACTTGCACATTTCTTTCGGTGGGTGCTTTTGATTTGCTAACTACAGGCGGGTGGCTTTGCTTCTTGCTTCAGGCACAAGAGCCTGGTGGCCAAACTGCCGGACTTACTAGTTCTCAAGTCTTGAGAGCTATCTTTTCACGGCAGCCAAAAGCAAACCTGACCCAGACTGGATCTGAAATGAGGGAGAGGCCACGCACGACATCACACCCAGGTTAGAGTTGTCAGTGGTGCCCCGAGTCAGTTCTGAGGCACTGGAGTGCAGCTGGGTGATGAAGGCCCCTCTGTCCACCCGGGGTAAGATACCGAGGGCCAGAGCGAGCCTGCGCCCTTTGCTATGACGCTGCTGGAGGGAGGAGGGAGGAGTAGGCTATCCTGGCCCAGGCAGCACCCGCTTTGCCTGCCGTCTGGTGGAATCTCAGACTCTCAGCCCAGGGACAGGCCTCTGGCTCGTGATCTTTAGGGAGTAAGGGTTCAAGCCGGCTCTGGGGCTGAGCAGAACAGACTACCGAGCAGCTGCTGGAGCCTTAGCCCCACACTAGCCTTACTCTGGCATGCACCCCTCTAACTGCTGAGTCTGACTGAGCCACCCACATCCCTGGAGCCCAAGCTGGCTGCCGAGCCTCTCACTTTCAAGTGTGTTTCTCAGGAAAGCTCTCTGCAGACGGGATCAGCTGAACAAACGTGGTCAGGGGAGCAGCAGTTTGCTGTGCAGGTGCTAAGCAGCTATATCTCAACCTCAGACAGCCGTCCTGCCCCCACCTACCCTGCCCTAGACAACGACTCTGCCTTCTTCTGAGGGGCAGGTGTCCCCCAGGCCCACCGTTTAAGGACACCTGAGCAAGAAGAGCTCCTGTCAAGCTGTCAGCCTTCTGTCCACCCTCCCTGCCAGAATCCATCCAGGCACAGAGGCCTGGGACTGCTCGAGCCTGGGCAGGCAGGTGGCCTGAGTGTGCATTATCTGAGTGGAGGGCGGGGTGCACAAGGCACAGGCCCAAGCTCCAGGGAAGTTAGGTGACTACAGACATTTCAACATGCAGAGTGGAAGAGGCAGGGCCGGGTAAGGGGGATCTTGGGCCAGCTTGGGGAGGCCTGTGGGCAGGGGAGACGAAAGAGCCAGTCAGGTAGAAGAAGAGGGGGATCTTCAGAGAAGGCTGACCACAGAAGGACGAGTCCAGAGAGGCACCAAGGAACTCTAGGGCAGGCAAGAGACCACGGACCCCCACCCACTAGGGAAGGGGTAAGAAGCATTCCTGGGACAACAGAACATTTCATGACATCACTGGCTTTTCACAGACTTAAGCTCAGAGCCACATGTCCCTCTTGCTGGCTCTCAGGAGCAGCAGCAACCATTTCCCCTTGGAGAAGGCTAAGGGCAGTAAGGCAGGCCCACAAAGACCTTGACGGCTCCCTCTGTAGCGGTGAACTCCAGGGAATGCTGAGAGGCCGCCAGGCAAGACTTCAGCATGGGGAAGGAACTGACTCAAGGGGACACAAGCCTCCCGGCCCTTTCACCCTCCCCAGGGTAACAGCATCAGCACATCACACCAGCCAGGCTCTGGGAGGCTCCTTCCAGTTCAAAATTCCATTTTCTATGCATCCTGAACTTCTCTACAACTGAGGTTCTTTGCACTCACCAATACTTTGGTCTTCTTTTTTAAAAAAAGATTTATTCTTATTTTATATGCATTGGCATTTTGTTGGCATATATGTCTGTGTGAGGGTGTTGTATCCCCTGGAACTGGAGTTACAGACAGGTGTGAGCTGCCATGTGGATGCTGGGAATTGAACCGAGGTCCTCTGGAAGAAGAGCCAGTGCTCTTAACCACTGAGCTATCTCTGAAGCCCGTATCCCCCCCCCCCCCCTTCTTAGCTCTCAAAATCCTCAATGAAAGAAGACAGCATTCTCCTCTTGTGCATACTTCAGAGTCACGTATGAAGCTGAGAGCCATCTTCCTGCGGCTGAAGCACTACTTGAGCACTCAGGGCTCCGGATGGCACCAGCACACGATAGCTCAACATTTCCACAGGCCCAGTCTGCGAGGGTTACTACTGTGCTGGCCCAAGCTTCTCCTTAGTAAACTATATGACCCCTCCAATGTCCCCCAGGGGAGGAGCTGGAATCAGCAATTGGGAGCTCCCTCATGCTGGACTGGAGGGTACTGGAAGACCCTCACTGCCAGCCCAGAGACCTTAGCGTATAACCCCAGGCACATCCTTCAGCTTCTCTACTGCCCCAGGCTCCCCGCAGCGCGGTGGAGATGACCTCACCTTTGTCTCCCTCTCATTTCCCTCTGCATGGATGATGTAGGGAGAATCCTTCTGCGGGTTTTCTGAGACAATGCGTACTTCCACTCCTGGCATTGGGGTCCCCACTGAACCTGTAAAAAATGGGAAGGTGGGGATTAGATAGCTGTACTCTTGGGTCTGGGACACTGGGATCACTGTCAGGAGTGGATTCCGTGCTCTTTGCCTGCAAGGAGAGACGTGGGTAGCGTGCACACTGTGCATGTCAGCATCCAGCCAAGGGCCTGCTCACACCTCACTGGCGCACAACCAGACACTCACTGCTGGTCACATGGCCTTGCAACACTAGTCCTGCCTGGCCAAGGAGAGCGGGCCAGCCAGCTGGTGTGTGCAGGAACTGTGTGCTCCAGAAAGGGCTGAGGGGGAAGCAGGTAGGGTTCATAGTTAGGCACCTATGGTTTGTTTGCTCTGTATACTGGGCTGCCCCACTGGTTGGAATTATACTTCCTCCTGCAAGGTGAGACAGAACCCAGCTGGCAGGACGTGTCCAGAAGTCCCCACACTTGGGGACTGGTATGTGATGGTCATTGCAGGCACAAGGCAGGCTAGTTGAATGGCCAGGGTGCTGACAGTGGCATCCAGGGTTTGATCCTCACTAATTCCTACTGTCCATGAAGCCCAACCCTAAACTCTGCTGAGCCAGCTCCCACAGGAGGGCCTGCCGTCTGGGTACCCACAGGAGGGCTGTCCGTCTGGGTACCCACCTGAGGGCCTGCCGTCCATCTGGGTACCCACCTGAGGGCCTGCCGTCTGGGTACCCACAGGAGGGCCGTCCGTCTGGGTACCCACATGAGGGTCTGCCGTCAGTCTGGGTACCCACATGAGGGCCTGCCATCTGGGTACCCACATGAGGGTCTGCCGTCCGTCTGGGTACCCACATGAGGGCCTGCCGTCTGGGTACCCACAGGAGGGCCTGCCATCTGGGTACCCACATGAGGGTCTGCTGCCCGTCTGGGTACCCACAGGAGGGCCTGCCATCTGGGTACCCACATGAGGGCCTGCCGTCTGGGTACCCACAGGAGGGCCTGCCGTCTGGGTACCCACAGGAGGGCCGTCTGTCTGGGTACCCACAGGAGGGCCTGCCGTCTGGGTACCCACAGGAGGGCCATCTGTCTGGGTACCCACAGGAGGGCCTGCCGTCTGGGTACCCACATGAGGGCCTGCCGTCTGGGTACCCACAGGAGGGCCTGCCGTCTGGGTACCCACAGGAGGGCCTGCCGTCCATCTGGGTACCCACATGAGGGCCTGCCATCTGGGTACCCACAGGAGGGCCATCTGTCCATCTGGGTACCCACCTGAGGGCCTGCCATCTGGGTACCCACAGGAGGGCCATCTGTCCATCTGGGTACCCACCTGAGGGCCGTCTGTCTGGGTACCCACAGGAGGCCTGCCGTCTGGGTACCCACAGGAGGGCCGTCTGTCTGGGTACCCACATGAGGACCTGCCGTCTGGGTACCCACATGAGGGCCTGCCGTCTGGGTACCCACATGAGGGCCTGCCGTCTGGGTACCCACAGGAGGGCCATCTGTCCATCTGGGTACCCACCTGAGGGCCTGCCGTCTGGGTACCCACAGGAGGGCCGTCTGTCTGGGTACCCACAGGAGGGCCTGCCGTCTTGGTACCCACAGGAGGGCCTGCCGTCTGGGTACCCACAGGAGGGCCTGCCGTCTTGGTACCCACAGGAGGGCCTGCCGTCTGGGTACCCACATGAGGGTCTGCTGCCCGTCTGGGTACCCACAGGAGGGCCTGCCATCTGGGTACCCACATGAGGGCCTGCCGTCTGGGTACCCACAGGAGGGCCTGCCGTCTGGGTACCCACAGGAGGGCCGTCTGTCTGGGTACCCACAGGAGGGCCTGCCGTCTGGGTACCCACAGGAGGGCCATCTGTCTGGGTACCCACAGGAGGGCCTGCCGTCTGGGTACCCACATGAGGGCCTGCCGTCTGGGTACCCACAGGAGGGCCTGCCGTCTGGGTACCCACAGGAGGGCCTGCCGTCCATCTGGGTACCCACATGAGGGCCTGCCATCTGGGTACCCACAGGAGGGCCATCTGTCCATCTGGGTACCCACCTGAGGGCCTGCCATCTGGGTACCCACAGGAGGGCCATCTGTCCATCTGGGTACCCACCTGAGGGCCTGCCATCTGGGTACCCACAGGAGGGCCGTCTGTCTGGGTACCCACAGGAGGCCTGCCGTCTGGGTACCCACAGGAGGGCCGTCTGTCTGGGTACCCACATGAGGACCTGCCGTCTGGGTACCCACATGAGGGCCTGCCGTCTGGGTACCCACATGAGGGCCTGCTGTCTGGGTACCCACAGGAGGGCCATCTGTCCATCTGGGTACCCACCTGAGGGCCTGCCGTCTGGGTACCCACAGGAGGGCCGTCTGTCTGGGTACCCACAGGAGGGCCTGCCGTCTTGGTACCCACAGGAGGGCCTGCCGTCTGGGTACCCACAGGAGGGCCTGCCGTCTTGGTACCCACAGGAGGGCCTGCCGTCTGGGTACCCACAGGAGGGCCTGCCGTCTGGGTACCCACATGAGGGCCTGCCGTCTGGGTACCCACAGGAGGGCCTGCCGTCTTGGTACCCACAGGAGGGCCTGCCGTCTGGGTACCCACAGGAGGGCCTGCCGTCTGGGTACCCACAGGAGGGCCTGCCGTCTGGGTGCCCCGCAGACTGTTCTCCCCACAGCAGTCAGGCCATTTTACTTCAGATGCCACCAGTGCCTCTGACTCTTGCCTAGCATAGCCATGCCTACTTCAGCCCTGGGCCCCTACCATTTCCTGCCTGGCCAGAGACCTCTGCCCACTTCCCAATGCTCCCTCAAACATGGGTTCAGCATCCCCCTGATCCACAGAAGAAGGCACAGAAACAGGATGCCTTTGAGGTTAGTGCTGGAGTCACCTGGCTTCAGGACTCACGAGGGTGGAAATAACGAACATGGAAAACACTGATAGCACCGGTCACATGGCAGCAATTTAAAAACCCATAAGCCCATGCCCAAGTATGTACTGTGTGACACAGGCTCACGGAGAAAACCTGGACATGGTGCTCACAACACCACCACAGCTCAGGCCAGAAGGAAGCCAGATGTTTCAGGATGATTGCTAGGTTCCCAGGAGGGGCAGCTCTATGTTTGGGGCACTGAGAGGGGAATGAGCTGCACTGAAAAGCAAAGCCCCAGGACGGGAATTCAGGACTGTAGCTCCTGCCTGAGGGTGGAGAAGGTATTGGCAGGCCAGGGACTGTGCCCTGAGGTTGGGCTCTTTCCAGAGCACTTGCCATCCACTCAAGCTTCGGGTTGTGGTCTTCCCCAAATGATCTAACGGGGCTGGAACGAAGCACCCCGCTGGTAGAAAAGGGACAAGGGGAGAGGGAGGCTGTCACCTTGAGAAGGTACTTCTGGCCCTGTAATCTGATGCAGAGGGCAGTGTCCTGTGTCCCTCTTATCTAAGTGCAAGTAGACCAGGAGCCGCATGTAGGGCACAAGAAATGGAAGGGGAACAGCTGTGGGGCAGCGGTACCTGGCAAGCGAGCCTCCGTCAGGGGGTTGGATAAGGCCATGCCAATCTCCGTCATGCCATAGCGCTCCAGTAGTGTGTGGCCCGTGGCGCTCTTCCACTTCTCCAGCAGGGGGACAGGCAGGGCAGCCGAGCCTGACACCATGAGCCTAGGCAGCACAACCACAGGGGCTTACTTAGCTCTGCTGGGGGCCGCTCACAGGCACACTTCCATCTTTAAATTGAACATTCATGATCAAAGTGAGCTGGGGCTAAAACTGGCTTTCTAAAAAGCTTTTTTTTTCCAGTATGTTTATGTAAATGTAAGCTGTTCTTTCAAAGGGATGTTAGCTAAAGCAGCATCTTCGGTGGCACCAAAAGTACGATGCTGATCACCAACAGTCCTAAAAACAGTGGCCACGACGGGACGGTGGTGATGGGGGAAAGGCCACACACCTGCAGGAGGAGGCAGACGCTGCCGAAGCTGGAGGACAGACAGAAGGACGGGCAACTGGAGGCGGCGATGGCAGTGATAGAGGGAGTGCTCAAGCGTCCCTACGGTGCTTTCTGCCACAATCCCATGGAAGGTGTCATCTAAAGTGAGGTGGGAACCAGTCCTATTCTCCTCTAGAGATGTATGGCCAACAAGAGACCAGCAGTCTGCTGAGGGTTCTGTATTTCAGAGACGGCAACTGTGCCCATGGTTCTGTGGGTTTGGTGGGATCTACTGATCTTTCCCTAGCTCTGGCTCCTGAGCACTGGTTACCCCAGAGTGCTTCAGAGACAGGCCTGAGTAGGGGCTCAGAGAGGCAGCAGCTCCATCCGAAACAGGGCCCTCATTTCCTCAAAGCATGTTTTTGGAAAGGGAGCATAAGAATGGTAGGCAGCAAAAATGTAATGCTATTGCATTTGTCTCGGATAATCCGGAAGTCTCTCAGGGACATAAGGCACTGCTTCCTGAGCCCGGATGTGTGGCATACAGAGCTGGCTGCTGGGCAGCCACACAGGTCATGCCTGGAGTTTTAAATCAAAGCTGTCCCTGCAACTCTCATCCAGCTTCAGCCCCTTCCCAAGTGCCACACCCCTGTTCCTCTGGCAGAAGAGGTGAAGCACCCTATCCACCCCTGCTGGGAACATGGATCAGGTCTGTGTGTGATGTTCAAGTAAGCCACACTATGTAGTAGGCTTTCTTTTGGGCCACCAACCAGCTACGAAATCATGCCATGGACTCTCAGCCTTATCTTAGGCTTGTCCCACCAGCTCTTATAACTTAAACCAATCTGTTTCTCTTCATCTACATTTTGCCTCAGGGTTTTTACCTTCCTTTCCTTACCTGTGTCCTACTTTCACTGCTTGCTCTATCTCTGGCTGGCCCTGAGTGTCCTGTCCTACCTCCTCCCTTCCTCCCCCACTTCTTCTCTCCTAGATTCCTCCTCCTACTTATCCTCTCTGTCTGCCAGCCCTGCCTATCCCTCTACTGCCTAGCTATTGGCCATTCAGCTTTTTATTAGACCAATCAGATGCCTTAGGCAGGCAAGGTGAAACAACAATTCATCTTTACATAATTAAACAAATGCAGAATAACAAAAGCAACACACCTTTACATAAAGCAATATTCCATAACAACATTATGATCACTTGTAGTTAGCAAATCACTTTTCAACATAAAGTTGGGAAAGAAAATTATATCCATAGGCTCACAGGAGAGAGAAGGCAAAGTTCATGCCACTGAACAGGTAACAGACTTCACTCAGCTCATGGCCATGAGAAGTTCCTGTCCAGAAGCCAGGGGAGGAGACTGGAGGGGAGTCTCAGAGCCAAGCCAGAGTGGACCAGGGAGGAGGCTGCTCCAGTTCTCAGCCTTCTTCCAGCAGAGAAGCAGAGAGACATGAGAGGCAGAGGTGCCAGGGGTAGACAGACACGTGCGCGTAGATGACTGGGGGGGTAAACAGACATGTGGGCATAGATGATGGGGGGGGTGTTAGACAGACATGTGGGCGTAGATGACGGGGGGGGGGACCCAGCAGAGGACAGAACACAGACGTACACTACCAGATGTACAGAGCCATCACACACTAAGCATGAGGCTGCCTGCTGACTGCCAATGGGCCCCATCCACTCACCTAATCTTTTCTTTACAAACTGCACGCACGAAATCCTGGACGTGGGGCTGTGTGAAGTGCTTGTCGTAGTAGTCCAGCAGTTTGCTGTAGATCGTGGGCACTGCCATAAATACATTAATCCGTGGAGTTTCTGTGCTCAAAAACTTTTCCCAAACCTAGAGGGAGACAGGACACAGCACTCAGTAGAGGACAGCACAGCTGCCAGCCACACGCTGCCTCCTGCCTCCACTGCAGGTCTCTCCTAATGACGGATGCTGTAGCCTCATGGGGCAGCCTTTAGACTCTGGACAGTGCTCAACACAGGCAGGAGGTGGGCTGTAGTCCTATCCAGAAAGCTTCATGTGAACTTTGCATTTTACCCCATAATAAATTTCTAGTAATATTTTGTATAAAAGCACTTAAATTTCTCACCAGTTACATTTTTATTTCAATACGATCAGTATGAGGCATGCAGGACAAGACTGAACAGTACCATGCTGTCATCACAGGCAAGGGCAGAGTCTGGCTCATAAATTAAAAATTCCAGATTGTCAAAAAGGCAATTCCTTACAGAACCCTCCAATTCCTAACAATCTTCACCTTGCAGTGACTGAGCAGAGGTCCCAAGAGTCAAACAGATGGAAAGAACACAGGTGCGAGACCTGCTCCTTCCAGTTCCAAGTGGGAGTGACAGTGTGAGCTCAGCCTGCTCTAACGCAGCAGTGTCCTTGAGCTGCTGCTCTGGAGACACTGCCCTGGGCAGTGATGCCACAGCTCAGTGACGCTGGCCCCACTGTCATCTCCCCTGCACAGGACCAACATCGACTGCTGCAGGAGAAGGGACACCAGGGACTCCTGTGGGTTCCCCAGCAGGGGGTCCTTTGTGGGAACTGGAGAAGATGTGGCAGAGGACAGGCTGCTCCTCATGTCCTGCTCCCCGATTGGAGAGGGGATCAAGTTGTGGGTCTAGCCACAGGGAAATTATTCTGATTTACATGCACATTAGAGGATGCGAAAGAGAGATGACAGCTCAAGTTGGCTGCATTGAATGGGGAGATGCAGCCACAAGCCGAGCAGGTGCCTCTAGAAGCCATTTAAAAAAAGCAAGATGGAGAGACCTCTATGGAACCTTCAGATGGAACCTTGCTTTTGGCTCTACCAGACTCATTCTAGACACTGTCCTCCAGTACACTAGGTACCTAGGAGAATAAATATACGCTGCTTTAACCCTCCAGTCTGCACTGATCACAGCGCACACAGAAATTCACTGGGTCGCCGAGAACCGTGGGTCCTGCCTTACCTGCTGAGCACTGAACTCAGGCAGCATCACACAGGTGGCTCCTACCCAGAGTGGACAGAGCAGCTTGTTGACCACACCGTGGACATGGTGCAGCGGGAGGACATGAAGGATCACGTCATTCTTTGTCCACGCCCACGCGTTGACCAGCCCAGTCACCTGTGAGAAACAGCACTGCCTAAGAACAGGGATTGAGGGAGTGTGGGCATGACTGGCAGACAAGTGGTCCAGGGGATCCTGAGAAAGCGAAGGGAGAATAAAGATGTTCTTTGCTCCTGAAGAAGGGAAGTAACTGGGTTCTCCCACTTATTGGGAAAAGGGTAGCACAAACACGTAAACTGGGGACAGCAAAGACCTTAGAAAGCCCAGGAACAGGCTCTGCAAACACTGTGGGAGGCAGAGGCGGGATTTTGGCACTGCTGCCCACAGCATGGTCCCCGCAAAGGACAGACTGCAGCAGAGTTCAAGTCTGAACCCGCAGGCTAGCATAGCTGCCTACCTGTGCTGAGCCGTCTGTGGTCCCTGCACCACGGTCACCCGCTCAGCTGTGACAGGAGACCCGAGGCAGATTCCCAGGCATATTCTCAGCTCTCACTGAGAAGTCATTGGGCAAGGCTCCTTTGTGCGCCCTGGACCATCAGTGTGAGGATACTGGCTCCATCACAGCCTGTGTCTTTACTAGGGAAGAAGAAGGGCTCTAAGCTGAGTGTCCCCTCCAGGAAGGATGCTGCACAGGCCCTATCACATCTGTGTGTGGTGGCTGGAACCACATGCCATGCGCCAAGGAACCTGGGGGCTCACTTGCTGCCTTCCTCTGTGTGTCGGCTTTCATGTTACTTTACTGTTCCTATTGTACAGGAGACTTCACTGCACATACACATGGTTTTTAGAACGTGAGCTGAGTAAGTCAGACACAGAGTGAGGGACTGCTGAGTTTTGCCAAGGTGGTTCTGGGAGTGGCTGAATACAAAGGCAACGCACAAGGCAGGAGTCGACATAGAAGCTGCTCTTACAAATCCCAACCTAATGACAGCCCAACTATGCGATCTTGTCGTTCAGCGAAGCACAGCAGGACCCTACTCAGTGATGATGTAAGTGAGGCTGGGAGAGGGAGAGGGGAGGAGACAGAGGCATCTGGAGCGCACCCAACACTCACCACAGCTGCTAAGTTACGGTGGGTGCTCAGTGCACCCTTGGGCCTCCCCGTGGTCCCACTGGTGTAGAAGATCATAGCACCCCGGTCACGCCATTCCCTCTCTTGAACCGGCTGCTCTAGGGGCTGCTCCACTGTTCCACGGTAGACGGCAGGCGTGAGAGGCAGAAGAGGGACTCCCAGCCTCTGGGCCACTGGACTTAGGCGCTCCAAGTACTCCTGGCCCACCACGACCACAGAGCTCCGGGAGTCCTGGATGAAATACTCCAGCTGGGCCGCAGGGTGCTTCCAGTAGAGCGGGACGGCAATGCCGCCACTCATCCAGGAGGCCCACTGAGCTACAACATAGGAGACATCATTGGAGCACAGGAAGGAAACCCTCTCCTCCTGGAGGTCCCCAACCTTACAACCCCGAAGCCTGCAGATCTCCTGGGCCAGGCAAAGGCTGCGGTCATAAAGCTCCCTGTAGGTGTGACGGCCATGTTTGTCGATAAGGGCAATCCTGTCCCCAAAGGCCAGGGCGCGGATGAACACGGGGGTAATCCCATCTGTGCGGGCTTCTGGAGCTGTATGTAGGAGGCTACGTCCGCTGTGTCTTCTGGGAACCAGCCGACTGGAGGCCAAGGACCAGATGAGACGCCTAAAGGGCAGTGTCGAGTAGGGTGGCATCGCACCAAACACCTCTGGCCGGGCTGGGAGGATGAGAGTACGTGTGAGTGTGTGCCTGGTTCACCAAGTCTTGCTCCCAGCGAGGTTTAAAATACACCCTCCAAACACCCTAAAAGACTGCAGACACTCTGTTTTGTTTTGTTTTGTTTGTTTTTCGAGACAGGGTTTCTCTATGTAACAGTCCTGACCGTCCTGAACTCATTTGTAGACCAGGCTGGCCTTGAGCTTACTGAGATCCACCTGCCTCTGCCTCCCAAGTGCTGAGATTAAACATGTGCGCCACCACCGCCTTGTGCTGCAGACACTGTTAACATAGCACCCCTAAACAGAGAGAGGGGTCAACACTTTCAATCAAACATCTTTAGAAAGTGTCTAGTATAAAGCTTTTTAATCAGCTTCTTTAAAGATTTCAAAAACATGCAAAATTCCCAAACAATTTTAAGTTAGGAAACCCAAATATACATGCACTTAAGGTAGATCCTGAGTAATAGATTTTGGGATTCTGAGCCTGGAAAATCACTAGTCAGTAGAAGCAGGCATCACAGGGACTCAAAAGTCATCCTTGTGGAATACTTAACTATGCAAACGTGTGTTACATTTGCTTAGCTGAGAAATATCACTTTAACTGTGTAACGGTTCTGCTGCACTTGTTTAGTTATGTAAAGATGTGTTGCTGTTTCACCTTGTCTGCCTAAGGCACCTAATTGATCTATTAAAAAGCTGACCGAGCTGAGCTGTGGCAGCACACACCTTTAATCCCAGCACTCGGGAGGCAGAGACAGGCAGATCTCTGTGAGTTCGAGACCAGCCTGGTCTACAAGAGCTAGTTCCAGGACAGGCTCCAAAACCACAGAGAAACCCTGTCTCGAAAAACAAAACAAAACAAAACAAAAAGCTGACTGAGCTGGGCTGTGGCAGCACACACCTTTAATCCCAGCACTCGGGAGGCAGAGACAGGCAGATGTTTGTGAGTTTGAGGTCAACCAGGTCTACAAGAGCTAGTTCCAGGACAGGCTCCAAAACAACACAGAGAAACCCTGTCTCGAAAAACCACCACCACCCCCCCCCCCGCCAAAAAAAAGGTGAACAGCCAATAACTAGGCAGGAGAGGGACAGGTGTGGCTGGCAGGCAGAGAGAATAAGTAGTAAGAGAAATCTAGGCTGGAGAGAGAAGAAAGTAACAGAGAAAGAGAGGGACACGCACACAGACAGAAACCAGGCAGCTGGACACAAGAAGCAGGAAAGAAAAGAAAAGAGGCGGGGAGGAGAGAGGGAGGGAGGGAGAAAGGAAAGGTAAAAATTCCCGAGGCAAAATGCAGAAGAAGAGAAACATAAAGAAGGGCTAAGATAAGGCCAAGTATTCATCTAATAAGTCTCCAGTCCCAATTTGAGAGCTGGTTGGCGGCCCAAAAGAAAAAGCCTGGCACACGCCCTTGCCGCTCCCAGGACACATCTGAGACACAATCTTCTCAGGGAGGACACAGAGCTGCTTCTCTCTGGCAATCCGAAAGGATAGCCGTTCAGGAACTGCGACCCAGAAAGGCCGTCAGGCAGGCAAGGTCACCAGGCAGGAAGCACCAGTTTGTTTGTTTTTTTTTCTCCTCCTAACAGCGGAAAGATAACTCTTCAATCTGTCTTCTCAAACACAACTCCTAAATTATAGCTGGAACAAGCGGAGGAAGAGTGCTCAGGGAGAGGGAGGAGATGTCACTGCTTAGTCCTACCGGGATGCTCCACTGGGTATCAGCTCTGTGGACCCTGAAGTCCACTCCAGAACAACATAGGGGCCATCGCCCTCCACACTGGCTCTGCATAAGGCATCTAGTGGGTCCAGAGGCCACCCAATATTCTGGATCTGCTTCCCAGTGCTAGCTAGCAACATAAATTCCTCTGGTTATAACCCTCACGTCATACGTCGCCCCTGCCCAGGCCTCTCACAGTGAGAAGACAGCCCCCACCCCCAGTCCATCTGGCCTCCAGCAGTTAGAACACACCACTCTCCACTAAGCCCCCCCCCCCGGCTGCCACACCTACCCCGCAATCACTTTGGCTTTCACTAGAGCAGTCTCCCCCAACCACTGCTGTGAGACAAGAGGCCACACCTGCTTTGGAGGACTCTGAGCTAGAGGGAGTGGCTCCGTGCAGAGGTTCTGCTCAGCTGAAGGCACACCTGCTTTGGAGGACTCTGAGCTAGAGGGAGTGGCTCCGTGCAGAGGTTCTGCTCAGCTGAAGGCACACCTGCTTTGGAGGACTCTGAGCTAGAGGGAGTGGCTCCGTGCAGAGGTTCTGCTGAGCTGAAGGTACTGCTAACCTGTTGTTACAGAGGCACTAAATACTGGGGTGTTAGATATCACTCAGTGCTAGAGGTCAATAAAGACACCGGCTGAGGGGACCTCTGCCCCATCCCAGGCCATGTGTCTAACCTTCCCCCACAGACACAACAGCTGTCATTCTTTGGGGTGAAAGCTGGGAGCCCTGAACTATCCTAGGACAAAGGCAAAATGACCATCTCTCGCCTTACCTCCCTTCATTCCATCCACACCTCACAGAATTACCGCATGCGAAATTCCCTCATGAGGTCTAGTGGAAACTAGCAAGCTCCCTGACACATCTCTGACAACTTTCCTCTTCCATTAACTTGCCAGGGGCAAGCCAACATAACATTACCTGCTGCCAGTACTAAAAGCAGCTTTGCCTTTTTGTTTGTTTGTTTAGACAAAGTTTCACTATGTATCCCTGGCTGTCCTGGAACTCTCTCAATAGACCAGGCTGGCCTCAGACTCAGAGACCTGCCTGCCTCTGTCTCAGCCTCCAGAGTGCTGGGATAAAAGGGATTAGGGTGTGTTGTCACCACGTCAGGACAGCTTTGTTCTCTTAAGTACAGCCTATTTGTGATACTTTAATAGTTATCTAGCCAAGCAAATTCTACATCAATAAATCTTCCTAGAACTAAATTTCGTTCAGTGCTCAAGATCTTTGGGTTTGACTAAGTTTCCCTGCCCCCTTGCTGGGGTTGGCTGACTTCTCCTCGAGCCAGGCACTCTGGTCAAGACAGCAGCAAAGCTCCACCTCACTCTTCTGTGCAGAAGTTTAGTTCATGGCTGTTTGCGGCTCCATGCACAATGTCTGTTCCCTAACACACTGACTCCTGGAGACCACACAAGGTCTACATACGGCAGTGAAGTACCACGGCTGCGCTTGGCGCTGCTCCACAGGGGCTCAGAGGTCCTGGTCTGTCACACCCTGGGTTTCTACTTCTACAAAGAAACTGACAAATTCAAGGAAACAGTGGGGCTAGGCAAGAGAAGCCAAGAACGCATCAGCCATGTGGCCTTCCAGAAGCCAGGGAGCGTAAAGTAAATTACAGTGCTTTCATTCTTACTCCAACACATTCTCCTCCGTTTGCTTTACAGTCGGAGATGCCAAAAACCAAGAGAAACTCAAAGAGAAGACCTGCTGTGTGGGATTTCAGAATTACAGACTTGTGGCCAGGTTCCTGGGGGTTAGAGTATAAGAAGACTCAGGATGCTGGGGATGAATGGGAAGGACAAGACAGTTGGGAGTCATCTACTGTCTCTGCACAAGGGAACAGAAAACAGAGAAATTCAAACAGAAGACCTGCTGTGTGAGAGACACCAGGAGCTTCACAAGTGCTTCACCACAGCCTCCAAAATGGCACAACTCTCCTGAAGTGCCAGGAGAGCTGAGCCCTCGGGAAGTAGTTCCTACCCATCACCCAGATGTGGGAACGCGCCTGCATCAGGAAGCTAGGTTCCGGATCAAGAATTGCCCCGAGAGACTATGGCACACAGGAACAATATACAAGGCCCTGGGAGAGCAGTCCTGATATACTCTAGTCCTGGGGAGGCCATGAGTTTGAGTCATAAGAGAGAAGCCTTCTCAGCAGTAGCACACATAGCTGAAACCCTTTTTACCCCACGTTGCATTGACACTATGACCTTAGGGATGCAAAAAGATGCTCGCACACGTGGTGACTGGTTAAGCTGAAACCAACCAATGGTCCTCAGAAAAAGTCTAAGGTCATCACGCACAGACACTCAAATATGCATGCTCAGTAGGGTGCTGGTCTCCACTAATCTCTGTTTACCCTACTTTTGACACCACCATACACTGCGAGGTGGTAGGACTGGGTCAACACGGCTAACCAGGCATAAGCAACACAGTGGCATGGTCACAAGATTCAGAGCAGGCAGAGTTGGTGATGCAGCTGCAGGACCTCTGCCTGGACTCTACTTACAGCACAGCTGAAGAAAACAGCACTGCCCTCTGGGACAAAGTCCTGAGCCCTGAAGGTTGGTGGCATTCCTACCATGTACAGACACTGAGCATCAGGAGGGGTCAAGTCGGACTCCTCGTGGAACAGACTTAGTTATAGTTCCCATGGAGACACCCACACCAGGAAGAACGGTGACCGCCATGAGGATACACTGACCCCGGTGTGGTAAGTCAGGGAGGAGGGCAGAGTGAAGGGCAACCCGAATCCTGTCTGGACAGCTGTGCACAGGCTGGGATGGCACCGTTGAGCCACCTTTAACTCTTGTACGTTTTACCATGTCCTCTGAGGCAGTGCCTCACTCTCCCATACATGGAAATGGGACCAGTTCCGGCCTCCAAAGCTGCTCTGGTCTTCGGGCGTGAGCCTGGCCCAAGTGCTTATACATCTGTCAGTGCTGAGCTAACTACTAGCTCATTCGGTTAGAGCATGTTCTTCAGAATAAAACAAAGTCTGTCTATTGGGAGCATTTGACATTGCATGGGCCTCTGACCCCTTCAGGTCCAGGGATACCAAAGAATGCACGTGATACCTGTGGGTCAGGAACTGTCAAAACTATATTTTAAAGTAGCATCCACAAATAATAAAAAAATGTTAAAACCATATCCACTCTACATAATAAACTACCATTTAAAAAAGACATCTAGGAGCTGGGAGTGTATTAGGAACTGCTTGCCTTGTTCCCCAGCACCACCTAAAATGGTCATAGTGGAGGCAGGAGGTTCAGAAGTTCAAGGTTATTAGGCTAAATAGTAAGTTCAAGGCCAGCTTGGATACCTGAGATCGTGTCCCTACATTTAGAAAATGAAGCCATCTATCTCAAGTCCAAGAACAACAGCCCTGTTTCACGACAATCACGTTGGCCTTGGAGGAAACACTTAGGACATTCACGCTCTCACAGTTACTCCCTCGAGGGAAAGCACAGGTTCACCCGCGCTCCCGCAGCAACATCTGGAGCCTTCCACAAGTCTTAGTGGTGGCCACAAACAAGTTCCCTGCCAGGACGAAAATCAAAACAACTTCTTTTAGTGAAATTCCCGGTCCCGCTCCAAGTCCAGCAGCCCTTCCTCGCAGGCACACTTGCCCTGCCCACGCCGCCACAGTCTGCTTTCGGAACCCATCGGCCTTTCGGAGCCAGGCCTGAACTTGCATCCCACGCGGTGCTCCACGCAAACAAACCAGAGAGACGCTCCGCTAGGACTTCAGCACTGGGAGATGGGTACGAGTTTAACATTCAGCAGAAGTTTCTCGCGCGCGAAGACAGACAGCTGCCCAACAGCTCCCACTAACCCCTGAAAAGCTCCAGCTCACCTCGACACCCTCTTTCTTGTCCCCTGCAACGCGCTCACCGGCGGTCAGATGGGGGTCACTGGGGGTGGGGCACCGGCCTGAGAAATCCTAGGGGTGGATCAGGCCGGAAAGAGTCCTACACCTAAAAATGTCCGCAGGCGAAATGTGTCCGTTTATCTAATCTGTCCCTGTGTGCATAGCCTCGGTAATGGGTTCCGGACTCGAGCGTTCCGGCTTATTCACAGACCAAGACTGGTCTTAAGTCCTGTGCAGGATTGCCAAAGAGCGGCTTTTAGGTGCTTGACGGCTGTCTCCAGACCTCTGGATCCTTTGTCCTGATAGAAAAAGTTCTATGTTGCTTGCATTGGGTCAGCTTTAACTTTTATTTATTTTTTTTTAAGAGAGGGTCTCAGGTAACCCAAACTGGCTTTGAATTTACTATGTAGCCAAAGATGACCTACCTCTACCCTTTGAGTGCTGATTAATGATAGGCTGCCTCACCACACCTGGCTTATGCAGCGCTGAGGATAAAGCCCGGGGATTCACACATGCACCCCAACAACTCTGAGCTGTATCCTCAGCCCTCAATTTTCGTTTTAATAGGCACCATGGTTGCCGTGACAGGAGGCACTATAGAGCTGTGGGTAGAATGTAAATGGGCTCCCTTGGTCCCTGAAAAGGGGATCCTTGGCTTGCAGCTGAGAGTCTGTGTGTTAAAGGTGATTTTTAAACCCGTGTGACACATTGTGTGAGAATCCCTCCTCACAGGTACTCAGGAACTGTGGCAGGGTGTTTTCTCTATAGCATAGGCTGCCATCACATTCCTGGTAATTCCCCTGCCTCAGCCTCCTGAGTATTGGGATCGCAGGTCTGTGCCACCACAGCCAGCTTTAGGGTACAGTAAAGGAAATATTGAAAGCTAAACGCTAAGTCCATTCGTCAGTGGCAGCAAGGCTAGAGACACAGTTCCACCACCTGCAGTAGCCGGAGCAGCTTCCCAGACCTCCACGTCAGTAAAATGGGGATTCTTGACTCTGGGCTTCAGGATGTCAGTGTGAAGCGAAGTTGGAGTTATTAAGATGTGGTTTTAGCGTAGTTTTTTTTTTTTTTTTTCGAGACAGGGTTTCTCCGTAGCTTTTGGTTCCTGTCCTGGAACTAGCTCTTGTAGACCAGGCTGGCCTCGAACTCCCAGAGATCCGCCTGCCTCTGCCTCCCGAGTGCTGGGATTAAAGGTGGGTTTTAGCGTAGTTTTAAGCATAGACCTTGAGACAGACTGCCTGGTGGGGAACTGGTTTAGGACAAGGATGGTATAGACCCCAGTATGGATGTGGGCTTCAGAGGGGAACACTCAGTGTCTTTACAATAGCCAAATACACAATTCAGGTGGCTTCTGAAGTTACATTGTTTCTAATGAACACTGTTTCCTTTTCTTTCCCTCTTTGGTAAAGGAGATCACAGAGAGGAAGGGACAGAGCATCAGCATCAACCACAGTGTCTAACATTGGAATTTACACCCTAGGCTGATGTGGGAGTGTCATATATCAATCTGTTGATTTCATTGGTTAAGTAATAAACAAACTGCTTGGGCTCATAGCTTAGAACATAGGTGGGTGGAGTAAACAGAACAGAATGCTGGGAGGAAGAGGAAGTGAGGTAAGACACCTCAGACAGAGACGGGCAGCTCTGCTCTCTGGAGAAGAGATGCCATGCTCAGCTCCCGGGCAGACACACGCGAAGAAGCTCAGACCCAGGATGGACGTAGGCTAGAATCTTCCCGGTAAGACCGGTGCTCACTAAGACCAATGCTCACAGATTATTAGAGATGGGTTGATCGGGATATCAGAATTAGCCAGTAAGGGCCAGAGCTAAAGGGCCAAGCAGTGATTAAAAGAATACAGTGTCCGTGTAATTATTTTGGGGCATAAGCTAGCCAGGCGGCCGGGGTGCTGGGAATGCAGCCCCGCCGCTCCTATTACTACACTAGGCCCCAGGACTTCTGTGTTTAAATGTCTACTTCCAAAGCATAGATATAGACATGACCTGGAGATGTGACTCAGCTTCTGCAACCCCTGGGCCTTGGCGACTGTCAAGAATCTGGATTTGGGGTAGGAGTGGCCCAATTGTTAGCTTATATAACACCCTGGATCTGATCCCCAGCACTGCATAAACCAGACATGGTGCTGCATGCCTATAATCCCAGCATTTGGGGCGTGGAAGCAAAAGGATTAGAAATTCAAGGTTATAAAGAGAGTTTGAAGCCAGCTTGGGCTACATAAGATTGTCTCAAAAGTGAAACAAAAGAGATAGAAGGGATGGAGAGATGGCTCAACAGTTAAGGGCATGTATTCCTCTCCCAAAAGATCTAGGTTTGATTCCAAGCACTTATACTAGGCAGTTCACAACTACCTGTAACTTTAGCTCCAGAGAGATCCTGTTTTTGTGGACGCACGCATGCGCGCGCGCGCGCACACACACACACACACACACACATTTAAACAAAAATAATAAGAGACCCATTGTTTGTTTGAACGGGACAGTGGCACTGGCAAGGATGGTGGTGGTTTGGGAGTCTTCATGGTCACTCTCCATGCCACCCTGAGCTTCCGATTAGCATTTCAGTGACCATAGCACAAGCTGTCAGGAATGACCATTTGAGGTTAGCCAGATGGCCGCTAACATGAGCGATGTAAGCTAACATCCTCGAAAAAAACATATGCAGAGAACAGGGATGGCCACGTGAGGACGACTCCAAGGCAACCCCTATTACTGTCACCAGAGCTGAGTACAAAGGTCCCACAAGACCAAGATTCTCCAACAGAGAGCTCCCCGAAGGCCTGAGGGCTAGGAAGAGCAGGGCCCGAGCATGATTCTCCTCTGGAGGGTTGGAAACAAGGGACTATCTGGACCAAAGGCTGAGGTGGAAAGCAGAGGGTGAAAAGATTAGATGGGGCTGCTGCAGAGTCCAGCAGACAGGATTTGAGGTTTCTGGAAGGGAAAGTGGAAGAGACAGAACAGGGGTCTCATGAGAGAAATTCAAAAGAACCAGCAGAGACAAGGCCTGGCACAGGGAGTGGTCACTTCAACCTAGCAAACGAAAAAGTTGGGAATGTCACAGCCACCCGCCCCCCAAAGGAAGCGGTGAGCACAAGGGACCCAAGCTCTGACTGCTGCTGGAAGTGTGAACTCCCATCGCTCCTGGCATCTCCACCCCTGGCTCCCCGCGGTGGTGGTTGGGGCAGGAAGCTATCAACAGAGGCAGGGTAAATGGAAGGAGCCAGACAGCAGCACCTGCAGCCTTGGGCAGGAAGCCAATTCCCACCTGCCCCTGAAGAGGTGGCTGAGCCATTCCACGTGACAGTTTCAGCTCAACTCAAGATGCAGCCTCTTTTTTCACCTTGGGTTCAGGTGGCCAAGATGACTCTGAACATTCTTCAGCAGAGGTCAGATACCAGCCCTCAGCCATGTCCCCATAGCACATGCCTCAGACTCCAGACACCTGCTGTCCCCCGCATACATTTACCTGCCCGTCCCAGAAAGAACATCTCATAGCTGGAGCATCTTGGAAGGGGACTCAGCCCCGCCCCTTAGTTCCCGCCCCCTTAGTCCTTTGCACCTCCGGCTTAATGAGCAAAAGCTGCTGGGGGCGCCTGGGTCACACCTTCTCACTCGACTGAAACACAACACAGATCTGACTGGCAGGAGTTTGCTCATGAGGGGAACTTCCGCAAGCTGTGAACACATTACCTTCCGCAGGCGGCTCTGGGAGCTGCGGTTGCCTGTTCCGGGGAAGACTGCACTGATGTCCTGGTAAGTCCCAGCCTTGGGAACACTGAGGACACCTGGCAGAGAAGAGGCTGTGACAGTGTCGCCTGTCGCTGGCTTTCTGTGCCCAGGCTGGTCCAGCCTACCTGGAATGGGGCTGAGCTGACTCTATAGCTAGACACTAAACGGTGGTTGTGCACTTCCAGGGAGGCAATGGAAGGCACCGCAGCCTTCTTGTCCTCTTGATTGATCATGTGCCTAGGGAATCCAGCTTCCATGAAGTGAAGACTCAGGGACAGCTGGTGGAGGGTCTGCCTGGCATAAAAACAGAGGCTTCTGCACACTTCCCCATAAAGAGCCTGCCTGCTGGTCAGCAAATCCCACCCTACCTGTGGCATCTGAAAGCCACCTACAACCAGGGAAGCCTGGCCACTGTTATCCTGGACTCCTGGTGTGCATAATTGTGAAGGATAACATTTATTGTTTTCACCCATGAAGGTTTTTGAGACACGGTCTCATATATTCCAGGCTGCCCTCCAACTCATTATGTAGCTGAAGAGAAGGACAACCTTGAACTCCTGCTCCTTCTGTCTCTGTTGTTCAAGATCTGGAATAACTTTCATGTGCTACCGGACCCAGCTTATGGGCTGCTGGGGATTGAACCCCGGGCTTCCTGCGTGCTGGGTAAGAGCTTTACCAACTGAGCCATATCCCTAACACTGTAAGCCGTGAAGTTCTGAGGCAATGTGAACACAGCAAGGGAAGAGTAATGCAAGACTTTCATCAATGGGTGTTGTGTGTGTTGGCAGATGAACTTCTTGGACCTTCCTATCCTCATCTATAGGGAAGGGCATTTCCAGTAGGTGTTATAACAGCCAAATAAAGAATCCCATGTAGGATATAGTCCCAGAAGAGCAAACCCTGAACACAGGCACCATTCTGTTACAAATCATCTCTAAGATTCTATCACAGAGCAGTAAGGGCTCAGACGATCTGGTTCAAGAAAGGCTGTATGTGAAAAGTGATGGTTAGCCTAGCCTGTTCGGATGCTCACCTTCCTGGACCTGGATGGAGTGGGGGAGGACCTTGGACTTCCCACAGGGCAGGGAATCTGACTGCTCTTCAGACTCAAGAGGGAGGGGGAATGGAGTGGGGGAAGGGGGAGAGGAGTAGGGAGAGGGGGAGAGGAGTGGGAGGAAGGGGAGGGAAATGGGAGGGGGGAGGAGGCAGAAAATTTTTCAACAAAAAAATAAAGAAAAAAAAAGAAAAGTTATGGTTGGATTGGCTCCCGAAAGGCCAGCAGTCTAGGGACACTGGGAGCCAGGAGGAAGATCATGCCTGGCAAAGGGATGCCAGGACAAGGTCAGAAGCCAAGTGGTGGAGAAGCCAAGGTGCTCAGCGGAGGGTGTCTGGAAGGAGCACAGGAGGGGAGGCTGTGGGTTTGTGGGGGTCAGGGAAGAGTTCTAGAATTAAAGAGGCTAGTCACTGATTGGAGGGAATCAGGTCTGTTGGAGAGCTCAGAGTCACTATGGCACTATAGACAGGGCTTTGACACTATGACTCATTACACACACACACACCACACGCATACACACACATCACATACACACACACACCACATGTTGAGCATGGTGGAGGACATTTGTATTCCTAATACTTGAGAGGCTGAAGCAGGAGGATCACGAGTTTGGGGCCAGATCATGGGCTACATAAATCCTGTCTCCAAAAAAAAGTCTTAACAAGGAAGACTTAATGCACACAACCTAAAAATACGGTGGCTTAGCTATACGACACGGCAGTGTTACCCATCCTCTCTCGGGGGTGTGGCTCATCGCCACCCCTCAGCATCTTGAGGGAGCATCTTGCTTCGAGTGGCTGGTCTAGGAAGAAATCATTATCTGTAACCTCCATTCTCTACCGAATTGTTCACACCATCGGGAAGCTGAGGATTTTGGTGTCGGGTTTTGGTGTGCGGCTCCTAAAACACTTGTCAGTGCGCTGAGCAATGGGAGCTTGGATAGATGTCTCTATTTTGGGTGTGTCTATGGTCCCTGACTCAGAGCCGCCTCTTTACCAAATCACAGAAATCAGAGATTAGAATTCCTCTTCCTTGAGCAGGTCACGGAAGCTCAAGTCCCCAAGAAGCATCCAGCTAGACAAACCTTGCTGACTATCTCCGTCTGGCCACAGAGATTAGCACCCCCTCTGCCCAGGTGCACCTCCACACATGTCCAAGCTTCTGTCATGCTCAGACTATGATGTCTGTATAAAAGCCCAAGAGAGGAGAGGGGCGCCTGTGGGCAACTGAACACCCTGAGGGTCGGCATACCCAAACTGTAGGGTCTGGAGCTCCTGCACGGGGGACACTGCCAGCCTCTCCCCTATCCGTCTTGTATAGCTGGCCTTCTTATCCTGACTCCCCTTGAAATAAACCAGTAGACATTCCCTGTAGTTCTGTGAGCTGCTTCAGCAGACTGAACTAACTAATCAGACCCTGGGCTTTAAAGCCAGTCAGTGGGAAGTACACAGCATGACATGCTGCCTGCTCTGAACATTCCCATTTTTTAGCTCCTTTGTCTGTATCCATGCCTAGCCCACAAGGCCCTCTGTCCATGCCCGTGACTCATCTTCATGGGCCTTCCGTCCAAGTCCATATTTTATCTAAATGGCCCACTGTCCATGTAAAGACCTCACTCACCCAGCCTCTGTCCATGTCTACAGTTCCTCCACACATCCACTCTGTCCACATTATCTATGCTTCCTCTACACAGTCCAGTTGCCTGGGCTTGGAGAAGTTTCCAGGCATATTCCAGGAACCCACTGAGGGCCTGACTCTGTTTACTCTGGTACATACAGCACATCGGCCTCCTCTGAGGTGTGAGCAACAAAGCAGACCCACAGGGCCATGTGGTAGGCAGGGGCTGTGTGGGACTGACTTGGGTTGGAGACCCTGGCATGGGCATGCTGAGACCCCAGTCCTGCCAGAATGCCTTCCCCATGAAGCTGCGAACGCCAGGCCTTACAGGGCAAAAATATTCAAGTGCCACATTTGTGGGTTCCCGCAGCTGACACCAGCTTGGCATGGGTGCTCCTGGGGACCGGCTCCTTACACATGGTGCAGCAGCACAGCTGCCAGCTTCGCGAGGCAGCTGTGAGAGGGGCCCCGCCTGCCCCTTGAGGTGCCAGTTGGGAGGCAGCCGACTCTCCTCCGCAGACTACCTGTGGCTGGGATGTATTTCCTGGCGACTGCAAATTTGCTTTGTTTCCAAGTCCTCCATCCGCTTCCCACCTGTCATCTCTCCCGCCACGCTCCTCCTCTCCCTCCCCCGCCTTCAATCAGCAGCCCCAGCCCCCAGCAATCTCATCGTCACCAGTGCCAGGCGGCAGGAACCACCTACACCATCTGAGCAGTAGCATCTTCCTGCCACGTGTGCCAGGCTGGGGCAGATGTAGAGCTGCCAGTGCCATGGGCCAAGGTCCAGGGCTCCCAGAGCTCCAGTGTTGACCTCCAGAGAGAGAGAGAATTATTTGTTTAAGGGCCCCTGAAACAGAGAATCCAGCACGAGGGCCAGGCTTTGCGCTGCCCTTGAGGCATGGAAGGGAGCCTCATGATACAGCAAGACTCCTCATGAGCAGAGGGAAATGGGTGTGAATGGGGAGATCTGCAGAGGCTATGGCCTGAACAGGGGCTCCAAGCAGACCGCGTGTGGGAACTATGTGAACCCCTCAACCTGCAGAAGAAGCTGGAGCATGGCTAGGAACTTTATAATTTCCCAGATGCGCTCCTATCTGAAATTGCTCTTTGGCATCTGGGTCACTCCCGACTCTGCAGAGGGCCCCAGGTATGTGGCCTAACCACGGAGAGCACCTGGCCCAACCTGGGTTTCGAGTGCTGGAGTAAGGTGATGGGAATTCTTCCATTTTCCGTGGCACAGTTGTGTGGGAGGGGAGGAAGGACTGAGGTTAAGATGAACAGAAAAGGATTGAGGAGGGAGACAGGACCCGGTGAAGGGGGCGAGGCCTTCGAAACCTTCTCTTCCCTTCTCTTCTGGGTAGACTCTCCATGGAGTCAAAGAGTCAGGAGGGACTGGCACCCCTGGAGGAGACTGGCTCCTGAGAGTCGCCTGACAGGCCCAGGTCCCTGAGGCTGATGCCCAGGTAAGGATTGATTTCACCTTTTCCAATAAATTCCCTCCATGTTGTCAAATTTATTTATGTTCACTGAAGGAAAGCTTTTTTTCCAGTTGTTTAGTTGTTTAGTTTAGTTGGTAGAGTGCTTCTATAGTATGGCAAAGCCCTGTGATCCTCCTCAAGCACTACCTAGAAAAGGCAAGATGAAATAGTCTGTAATCTCAGCACTTGAGAGGTAGAGACAGGAGGATCAGACAGATGAAAAAGGTCATTCTCTGCTACACAGAAAGTCCCAAGGCAGCCTGGGCTCAATGAGACTCCATTTACATAAAATTACATGGATTCCCCAAAGCAGATGTAGCATGTTAATGTTTTGGTAGCTGTCTATGGTGTTTTCTACAACCACACCCCCTTCTACATTTAGTTGTGCGCGTGCGCGCGCGTGTGTGCTGAGGTGTGTGGAAGTCAGAGGACAACCAAGGGGATCAGTTCCTTCCACACACAGTACGGGTCATCCTCAGGAGTGGCAGCAAGAGCCTTTCCCTACTGAGCTATCTCACCGGTCCACAAATATCTTTTGAAAACACAAATTGGTTCATACATAGGATGATCCTCTACCGTCACTTGTACTATTTCAGAAAGTCTTCTGAGGCCTCTAGTCCCTCTGAAGCTGTGATTTATTTGCTATTCTTTTTTTTTTTTCCCGAGACAGGGGTTCTCTGTAGCTTTGGTTCCTGTCCTGGAACTAGCTCTGTAGACCAGGCTGGCCTCGAACTCACAGAGATCCTCCTGCCTCTACCTCCCGAGTGCTGGGACTAAAGGCGTGCACCACCACCGCCCGGCACTCATTTGCTATTCTTAACATTTTTGAGGCACTGTGTGTGAAGTCCAGGGAGAACTCATCTCAGCTTGTCACGGCAGCAGGTCACCAGGGTCCTCTGTCCCCTGGGGATGGACAGGTGCCTGCTTCCTGTAACATAAATCATGGGTATTCAGTTTCCTTGCCAACAAATCCCAGTGTTCAGCCTTATTCACTTCCCCGGGATGAATAAATTCCTAACTGAGGAATAAGATCAAAGCATTAAAAAATACTAATTTTAAAAAATGTCTTATCAAGTTGTCCTCAACACCAAGGTCAAGGTTCATCCTCACTGCTGAAGCAGATGTGGCCCAACCCACATTCTCTCCTCCCTGGCACAGATGCCAGCTACTCATCTACAGGTGTGCTCATCAGCCAGGCAATTTTCTACATTCTAGATGAGAAGATAAAGCCACACAGAGCAGAAGGCACAGCACCTGGCTGAAACACCATTTGCACAGCCTATGGCAGCGCTATGTCCAGAGGGAAGGGAATTTGCTGGCAGAAAGCAGTGGACACAGTGGACTGCTAAAGCTCCCTCCTTCCCTCCCTCCCTCCTTCCCTCCCTCCCTCTCTTCCTTCCTTCCTCCCTCCCGTCCTTTCTTCCTCTCTCCCTTCCTTCCTTCTTTCCTTCCTTTCTCCCTCCCGTCCTTCCTCCCTCCCTTCCTTCCTTCCTTCCTTCCTCCTTCCCTCTTTTCCTTCCTCCCTCCCTTTCTCTCTCTTCCTTCCTCCCTCCCTCCCGTCCTTTCTTCCTCTCTCTCTTCCTCTCTCCCTTCCTTCCTTCCTTCCTTCCTTCCTTTTTTCTTCCTCCCTCTCTTCCTTCCTCCCTCCCTCTCTCTTTTCCTCCCTCCCTTCCTCCCTCCCTTTCTTTCTCTCTTCCTCCCTCTCTCCTTCCCTCCCTCCAGTCCTTTCTTCCTCTCTCCCTTCCTCTCTCCCTTCCTTCCTTCCTTCCTTCCTTTTTTCTTCCTCCCTCTCTTCCTTCCTCCCTCCCTCTCTCTTTTCCTCCCTCCCTTCCTCCCTCCCTTTCTTTCTCTCTTCCTCCCTCTCTCCTTCCCTCCCTCCAGTCCTTTCTTCCTCTCTCCCTTCCTTCCTTCCTTCCTTCCTTCCTTCCTCTCTCCCTCCTATCCTTTCTCCCTCCCTCCCCCTCCCTCCCTCTCTCCCCCTCCCTCCCTCCCTCTCTTCCTTTGTTCCTTCCTTCTTTCTTTCTGACCAAGATAGTGTTGGCAGTGTAACCCTGCTTGCCTCCCACAGTGAGATAGCAAGAGGGACTCCCGGAACCAGCATTTGATGGAGCTGAGCTTGGGCCAGTGGGGGCGTATCTGGGCTGAGAACAGAACCTTCAGGACAGCCTTATTTGCTGTCTTCCCCAAGCCCTGGCTTGGACTTGACCTGCTGTTCTTGTTTACCCTCCAATCAGTGCTGTCACCTGCTTCCAGAGGAGGACCTAGAGTCTGGCTGCTCAGTGTAGCGCACACAAGCTGGCTAGAGCTGGTGGGTCACCTTCATGGGCTCCTGAAATGACATCATAAACTATCATCAACTATGGGTAAGATGGTTCACCAGCCTGCTCCATATTCAATCCTCTCACTGGTTGCCTTTGCAGTCTGTGGCTCTTGCCAGATCCAAGCAGATGTGGGCTGTTCTAGGATTGGCCTGGGGCTGTCTTGGGTCCTTCCGGGCTGATCCTACTAGGTCACCTTCCTCCAGAGGACCCCTCCTCCTCTTCCCACCCAGCCATGCCTGAGAACATTCTCTGGCCTCGGTGTTTCTGATTTAAACGCTCCCCAGAGCTTGCCTGCTGTGTGCAGTCCGGCATCTGGGCAGAATAACCGTAACAGCTGAGCGCCATGTGCTTGTGGCTCTGGGCATTCTGGAGTGGGCTCGGTGCCAGTCTGTCTGTGGCGCAAAAGGCGCTGCCCTCGTGTGCCCTCCATGCACTCTACCGAACCTCTCTGTGCCTCAGTCTCTCTTCTTGCACTTCTCAGAGTCGTTACTATAGAGTGTGGCTTCCAAGACCCATCTGCCCTTGAACAGGAGCCAATGTCCATGGGAAGCCTGGACTTGACAGCTCGGGGAGCCTGCCAGGTCCCGTGTCTTGTGCCTCACAAGCTGCAAAGCTGAGGCCCAGGAGGACATGGCTTGTGGGACCAGGAAGAGGGAAGGCTCACCGGAAGTCTTATGGGCAAGGGATAATACCTAGTAAGGTCTGCATCCACTGTGGCTCTAACCCCGGATGAGACATGATGGACACACTGCAAACATCCACTGTCTTCCTGCTTGGTGCCAACACCAACCTGGGGAAGCCTCACAAAGCTCCCCCGCTTACAGTTTTCACGTCCTGCCTGGCATACCAAACCCTCAGTTCGACGAAGGGTCTATTGCTGAGATAAATACCATGACCAAAAGAAAGCAGCTTAGAGAAGGACAGGACCAACGTGGCTTACACTTCCATATCAGAGCATCATCGAGGAGTCAGTGGGGGCCAGGGCAAGAGGAACCTGGAGGCGGAGACTGAATCAGAGGCCCTGGAGGAGTGCTGCTTACTCACAGTCTGCTCTTCTTACACAGCCAGGCCCACCAGCACAAGGATGGCATCATGGAGGCTAGGTCCTCCAACATCAGTTAGTAACCAAGAAAATGCCTCGCAGACACACCCGCAGGCCAATCTGATAGACACCAAACCCACACAAAGTCTTCACTCTTCCTCCTCTGCCAAAGGCCCTACTGTTAATATCATTACACCAGGGGCTTTAGCTTGTGGATTTTGAGAGAATAAAAGCAATTAGTCCCTTGTACCCCTTAGTTCCTTGTCCTTTACAGGGACACTGAGTCTGTCCTCACAGACTTCTCTAGAGTCAGCCTGGAAGAGGGGAAATTACAAGGCCTTAAAGGGACCCACTGAAGCTTAGCCTTCACCACCTGGGGGGACGCACGCTTTCTCTAATACTGAGAGCAGATCCAGGGGCATGGTTGTCCTGGTGAGGCCTGGCTGCTGTGGGCAGCACCCTGTACAAGCAAGAGTCACAGCTGTGGGCCATGCTGGCTTGTGTTCTCAGTGCCCAGGCTTCCTGCTGCATGTCTGTCCGCACAGAGCCCTGCCAGCAGTGGGTCTGGTCTTGTGACCCTGGGGACAAGGGCATATGTGTTTGTGCACGGGAGTATCACATCCACAGCAGCTACCCAGCATGTACCTGCAGTCCCAGAACTTAGAAACTACAGTTGCATCATTGGCATGGCCTGGTCAGCTCCAGGGCATCCTGGGAGCTGTCTCCACTGTCCTCAACCTGTTTCAGCTAGGAGACTCTAAGAGACTTTCTAAACAAAACAATAGCAACAACAACAACAAAAAAACCACTAAGTACCTAAAATTAGAAAAAAAATTCCCTCTGAAGGAGTCCCTCTGAGGCCAGTCCATATTTCTCCTATACCTGTCTGCCTCTGTCTCCCACATCCTGCATTAAAGGTATGTGTCACCGCTGCCTGACCTCTAGTGGCTTTAGCTTTGCCTCTGGTCTTCAGACCAGATTTATTTATTAAAATACAAGTAATACACCACTAGAGGCCTTGCCTCTGCTTCTGGCTTCTGACATGGATCTGGTTGATAATATTGCAACCATTTCTCCACTCAGTGCTGAGCAAGCGTTCACAGGGTACCGAGGACCAGGATATTACCACACTTCCAAGCCAGTTACCATGGCGCAGAAGCCAGCGAGGGAGGGTAGTACCCTGTGTGATGTGCCCGATGCCCATTTGATTGGTCACTGTGCAGAAAGTTCCTTCCCCAGAGACAACAAGGTGGCTCAGTGGGTATAGGTACTTGCCAACAAGTTTGATAACCTGAATCGGATCTCTAGGACCCATGAAGTGGAAGGAGAGAGCCAGTCTCTGCCAGCTGTCCTTGGACTGCCACATGCACACCAGAGCGTGCACACATGTAAATAAATATTGAAATAAATCTGCCTTCACCTCAAGGGCAGACAGCTATGTTGTGTGTGTCCCTATAGTGGGCAGGCGGGCGGGGTCTTAAACCAACCAGCTCCCAACACGTTTAAGAGGCAGTTTCTCCCTCTTCAGCTGACACCAGTGTCCTTCTCAAATAGAATCTCAAAAAAGACCAACCTTGTTGAGCAATGGTGGCGTATACCTTTAATCCCAGAGGCAGAGGCAGGCAGATCTCTGTGAGTTCCACACCAACCTGGTCTGCAGAGCTAGTTCTAGGACAGCTAGGGCTGTTACACAGAGAAACTTTGTCTCGAAAAACCAACCAAATAACAGACAACAAGACCAACCTCAAGATCAGGATAACATGGAAGTCAGGCTGGCATAGAGCTCTCTGGGTGAAAGGGCCCATGAGCTAGTTCTGCCATTTCTCTCTACTCCAGAGTAAGATATCTAGGGCATAGTGAAGCTTATCTGTGATTCCAGGCAGGAGGATAACGAGTTTGAGGCCAGCCTGGGCTACATAGAAGATACTGTCTCAAAAAAAAAATCAAAAGAAAAAGAAAATAAGTTGGCCTTCTTACCTCCCTTCATAATCTTCCGAGTAAACTCAAATACCATGGCCGGCCACACCCAGTGCAGACTGAGCAATTTCACTTCCCGGTCCCCTGGATGGGTGGCACCCGGCACTGTGGTGGAACATTCCAACACCCACACACTGAACGTTTCTGTTCTGGGTACAGCTGTGCCAACCTCTGGGAACCTGAGGCCTCAGAGCTGGAAAAAGTCTGGCTTTCAGCATGGCCCGGCTGGGCTGCAGCATGGCCCGGCTGGGCTGCAGCATGGTTTGACTGGGGACAGCACCTCTGCCATCATGCATCTGTCTACATCTGCAACCCAGAGGTCTCACCCCTTCAGTGGATGACAGATTGCAGAGACAGCTCACAGGCTCCGTGCCCACCTGTGGGGACTATGCCTTGGTGCCGTGGGGTTCTATACCAGCTCTGACTCTGTGATACCCTCCTTTGGCACTAGACAGAAAAAGCCTTTCCATTCATAGGGGTAAAAGGGGTGTAGATACTTCTCGAAGCAGAGCCAGTGTGGTCTGGTGGAAGTAGAGGCTCTAGCAGGTTGTGGCCCTGGTTTTCCTTATACTTGAAGCCTAAGATGCTCCCAGAAGGACGGTAAAGGCCAGAGAATAGTCTTTGTGGGCAAGACTGGGTCCTGGACTTGCTGGTGACAGATCGGAAGCAGCCCTGGAGAGGGTGTCCCAAAGGAACTGTCACAGCACTGTGTTTTGCTTACAGCAGAAAATATGTGTAGTTGAGAGAGTTGATTCCAACAGAACACACAGTGTTTCTCCATGAGTGTCCACATGGCCTGGCAGCTTGCTTCTGGAGAGAGGAAGAAGCAGCAGCTGGCAGGATGGCTGCTTGCGCTGGGAAAGGAACAGGAACCTGTAACTGTTCTCACTGGCGGATGAGAGGGCGGAGGTTCAGAGATGAACACAAGCTGTCCTGGGCAGCTGTACTAGGTAGCCCTCCTGGGTTGCCATCTTGGGCCCCAGTATGATGCTCGGCTGGCTTTCCCTTGCTTGAGTCTAGCGGAGGAGCCGGTAAATGAGGGGCGGCGCCTTTTATGAGGCAGAAGTAGAGCAGACATCCTGAGCTATGCCAACGACAGGATGTAGGACAAGGGAAGAGCCAGAAGGTGACCAGGGCTCTAAGGTTTAACATAGGGGCAGCCCTGTGTCCCCTTCCCTCACTGGGCCAGTGAAACCTAGGTCAGACTCAAGGCTGATAGATACCCCTCTTCCTGCAGACTAGACCAGAGTGACCTGTGTCTCCCATGCTACCTGGCTTTCTGGTAGTCCTGTGATAGTCCCGTGATCTAGGATGGGTGGAAAGGAAATACAATACAAAAGCTGAGCTCACAGGAAGCTCAACTTGTCCCCAGGCCACATATCCAGGTCTCTCTGGGAGTCTTTCCTTGGCCTGGCTAGCTGGACTACACCTGGGGCCACAGTCCTGTCTACTTCAATGCTGTTTTTCAGTCAGGCCTCTGGTCTTTAATGGGGGGCCCTTGGCTGCCCCAGATCCCCCAGAGTCCACGAACTGACATTCTCTTTTCAAAGCATGGAAACCCACAGAGACCCCACTGCTCGTGTGGCAGAAAGAAGAGCTTGAGGCCAGAGCACAGAGGACACCTGCCCTCAGCTCCACATGTGGTCACTAAGCTGCCAGTTTCCGTTCCTCCATCCTGCTCTCACCTGTGCCCTAGCAGGCATGGGGCATATCGCCACTTGGTGAGGAGTGTGGCTCTTGGGGAAGGTAGGATGTGACCTCAGAACTCAAGTCGGCATCTTCTAAGAGGGGCTGCTTTGAACAGGGGACACCTCTAGGAAAGAGGGGAGAGGGGACAGAAACCAGAGCTGGGCCATACTTGGTTACCTTGATGGCAAGAGATTTGGTTTGGTTTGGTTTTTGGAAACAGGATTTCTTTGTGTAACAGTCCTGGCTGTCCTGGAACTCACTTTGTAGACCAGGCTGGCCTTGAACTCACAGAGATCCACCTGGCTCTGCCTCCCGTGTGTAGGGAGTAAAGGTATGCACCACCACCCCTACTGCCCAACTGTCCTGAGTCTCTTCATTAGGAAAATGAACACGGTTTCAGGGAAGTCCATGACTATAACTAGCTTGGAGCCAGGTATGTCACCCTCTGTCCTTCCTTCCCAACACATCTAGCTTGAGGGAAGAGCCAGAGCTGCCTTCGGTGTCTTCAGACGAGCTCAGGAACAAGGGGACATTTTGGTGGGGGCATTTGAAATCCAGCAACTTTCACACTCTTCACCTGCTGGGAATATTATTCTCAGGTGTGTTACTTTTGTTTATTCTGCATTTGATTAACTGTGAAGCTGCGAGTCTTTGTCTAAAACACATGATGGTCCTAGTAAAGAGTTGAATAGCCAATAGCGAGGCAGGAGCAAGGATAGGCAGGCTGGCAGGCAGGGAGGATAAATAGAAGGAGAAATAAGAGGAGCAAGAGAACAAGGAGAGAAGGATATCAGGTGCCAGCCACCCAGCCAGTTACAGAGGAAGAAGGAAAGA